GAACATTACAACAGAGGAACAGGTCTTCCAAATCCATGCTGACTCTGGCTGATCCTGACATTTTATCCCAATTATCTGCAATAAAATCTTCTTTTTTCCCTGCAGGCTGACTGGTCTAAACTTCCAAGTTTTATCTCTACACTCCCTTTACAAATAGATTGCTTACATTAGCTACCCTCCAATTTTTGGAAATTATTGTAGTGCCTATAAAGGTTTGGAACATCACCAGCAATACATCCACTATTTCTAAGAGCTCTGGAACATAAATTATCAGTCACTGGTATTTCCCAGCTTTCAATCCTATCAATATTCGCAACACAATTTACTGAATAATACTGACTTGATTCAGTTTCTCCCTCTCACTAAACTCTGATTTCCCCAAAATTCCTGGTGTGTTATGTGCGTCGTCCTGTGTGAACATAGAACAACAGTAAGTATTCAGTTGGGTAGCCATTTTTTATTCCTCACAATGGACTCCCCCCTTTTTGATTGTAAGTGACACGCATTTGTGTTTACCAACCTCGTTTTATTTCCATCCTCCTTTTACATATTTATCAATACATTAACAGTTAGTTTTTAATGGCTTCTGCAAACTTGCTCTTTTCCACATTTTCTCATTCATAATCAATGCATTTGTTTATTCCTTCTTTCCTCATTTTGAAATTTTCCCCAGCTTCAGGGACTTTTATTTTCTTTCCAGTTCTTTTTCTTCTCAATTTGTACGCCTCTTCCATGGATCAAAAACTATGTTAAGTAGCCCTCTTAAACGACAGTTTTGTAAACTGTAAAAAAGCACCTTCCATACTCACGAATACATCCATTTAAAAGGATTTGGGCAGCCGATGTGGAGGAACACTACCTTGCTATAGGGCAAATTCCCATCCAAGCCACCCACCATCCTAACTTAGAAATATATCCCCTTTCCTTCACTGTCGCTGGATCAAGACCCTGGAACTCCCTACTGACAGCAATGTGGGCAGTACATGGATACAATTGTTCCAGAAGGCGGCTCAGCACCACCTTCTCAAGGGAGGAAACTGGGGACGGGCAATAAATGTTGGGACCAGCCAGCGACATCCACGTCCCAGGAGTGAGTAAACAAGAAAATTTAGGGTCTATTGTTGAGGTATCCCGTTCATCTCAAGGTTTCTGTCTGCACATACCTGAGAATAAAATCAGTCATCTACTCGAAACTGGTACTTGCATCGCGTTCCGGAGATGTTATTACACACCTCTGGTCCGGGTGCAATTTTAGCACGGTCCTCCTGACCCAGAAATAGGGACACTACCACCGCGCCGCAAGACTCCCTCCAACAGTTACATTCTGCCTTCGTAAGAATGTCCCATTTGTTCCATCGGTCTGTATGTTATTTTGACAGAGTTAAAATGAAACGGAGGTCAGCAGGATTGAATACTACAGTTAACCTGAGATCCGACGTGATGTTATTGAATGGTGAAGCACATTAAAGGGTCGAATGGCCGTCAACTTCACAGCTTCCCCATCAGAATGTAAGTTATTAACATGACCCGGGAATGATCTCCATTGGAGCTTCAGAAAAGGTCAATGCCCCAGCCTGAAACGTTCTCTGCCTTTTCCCCCACAGCCCCATTTGCTTTGCTCAAACTGGGAGTAAAGGGAATTGGGGAAATGACCAATTGATGTTTGTTTCTGGGACTCATTGGGAAAAGCAACGCATGCGCGATGCTGGCCCGGCCCCCGAAGCTGCTTGTTGCTGACTGGAGGTGCGCATGCGTGAGGCCCTCCCCCACCGCTGCCATTGAGGAGCATTTACTCAGTGAGTGGAAGAGGTTTGTTTGAAACAGACCGCAATGGAGAGACCAGCGTCCGGGGAAGCGAGGGAACAGCAGGCTTCTTCCAGCAGCACATCGAGATTTGAGTCCATGGGGGTTCCGACAGCGGCATTGATTCGGGCTCAGTTCAGGGAGAACCGGGGACTGTTTGTAAGAGGCCGAGTGGAGCAGGAACTGGTCCCGTCACTTGGAGTAAGCGGCCTGGCGGGGAAGAGGGAGGCCTTTCTCGGGCTGTGTGTGGCCCTGCTGAGGGAGACACAGCGGCAAGAAGCTGCTTGGGTGGTCATTGTTGTGATATTTAGTCCTCCAAACGCTGATGGTAATTCACCGTTAGCTTCTGTTTCACGTTGTTTGTTGCGAATTGGCATTGAATCGTAAAGAAGTCACAGTACATACAAATGTGTTAATCATGTAAAGTATAAATACAGCACTCACTGGTTTAAAACTCTCGTATTTTTTTTTGAAATAGTGCCTGTTGTTCTTCCCTTAAATAGACAGTGTATTGGAAGCTGGGTATTGAACTGTATAAGCATTCAATTCATGGACCGTGCAGGTGTTGGTTAGTTTTTGTATCTCAGTAAATTGTTTTAGAATTTCGCAAAAAGAAAGAGACGAGGAGGAGCTCAGGTTCATGATGGAGCCAGACCCTTCTCTGTTTGAATTGTTGGCTTTAAAACAAGGAAGTATTATGAGTATTAAGTAAATTTTGCATTGATCAGTTTTAATATTTTCAAACTCGTTGGATGTTGACTTACAGGAGAATTCTGTTCTGTCTTCCTCCAGGCAAATATTTGATGGGCCAGGACAATATCATATTTCCTCATTACAGCACCAAGTGTGACCAGCTGCTCCTACCAAACAGCAGGTATGTTAGCAATGTCAGAGTGGAGAATTTACTTTCCACAGACACAGAGCTAAGACTTGCATTGAGCTCAATTTCCAGGTATATACATTCAATCCAAGGGTCAAACACCACCAACAAAATACATTTTTTTTTTTCTCTATAACCCGGTGCAGTTCCAGGAAAGTTCATCTTTGAAAGCCCATTGTCATTCATAGCATTTGAAGAGGGATAGATTGAATCTTCATTACAAATATACACTCTAACTGCATTGAATGCACGTTAAGTAAGGGCATTTTTAAAGTTACAATCAAGGTATATAAATAGATCAAGTTGTTACATTGTTACAATGACCATATATGGACTGGATATTGAGTACAGACATGGAAGGAAACTTTTGAAGTTATCAGTGAATGAGGAAGGCAAAAATAATAAACAGAAGATTCTGGAAAAGCTCAGCAGGTCTGGCAGCATCTGTGATGAGAAATCAGAGTTAACGTTTCAGGCCTGGTACACTTCCTCTGTTCTGAACTAAGGCCACCGGATCTGGGAGGCATTGGCTTAGTGGTATTATCACTGGACTGTTAATCCAGAGACCAGACAACACTCTGGGGACCTGGTTCGAATACCGCCACAGCAGATGGTGGAATTTGAATTCAATAAACATCTGGAATTAAGAATCTAATGATGACAATAAATCTGTTGTCTGTTGTCAGGAAAAAAAAAACATCTTGTTCACTCATGTCCTTGAGGGAAGGAAACTGCCATCCTTACCTTGTCTGGCCTACGTGTGACTCCAGACCCACAGCAATGTGGTTGACTCTGAACTGCCCTCTGGGCAATTAGGGACAGGCAATAAATGCGAGCCTAGTCAACAACACCCTCATACTGTGAATGAATAAAGAATAAAACTTTTGAGAAGAGGTTATTCTGAGGCAAAAGGGAGCATTGCACAAACAACAACTGCAAGAAGATTTGTTAGAGACAGTTTGAAGTTTTGGAACAAACATTGAACAGGATAGTAAACTCCTGCAATAACAAACAGATGAACTCATGGGATTATGGTTCACATAAGTACGACAGGATCAAACACGTTCATTAAATTACGGTCGTAATTGATTCCAATCTCATTAATGAAAGGATGTTGTCCCTTTAGGTGAACAGAGTTAGTTAGGGCAAGGGGTGTGAATCATCCCAAAAGACAGTCAGCCTAGACAGTCATGAAAACAGCAGATCACACCATTTTGCAGCGATTAGTTGTTTCTTTGAAATTATTCACAGTATTAAGAAATAGATTCTAGTTAAACATTCTTCAGATAATTGTGTTGAAATCTATAAATATACATACATAATAAAATACAAAGATCACTAAAAGCATTAGGGAAAAGATTCAAATAGAGAAGTTAGTTAGTCTCTGGAGGCTTTCCTATATCACTGAAGGAATGCTTAGTGCACCTTGTTAAGGTGAATAATTAGTTCATGCCATTGCATAGTTACACCAACCATATGTGAAGTAGATACTGAGTACAGATATGGATGGAAACATTCACATCAGTAACTGAGCAGGACAGTATTAAACATTTGACCAATACATGTCCCAGGCAGAGACAGAACAATTAAATAATGTGACTTTTAAATACACACATCCTGTGCCAAAGCCTGACAGAGAATGCTTACTGAGTGTACGTGTTCTCTCTCTCTCTCGGTCTGTCTCTGTCTCTATCTCTCTGTCTGTCCCTCTCTCACACGCGCACCCTCGCGTACACACACACACACACACAGACTTGCAAATACATACACTATCCCGACACGTGCTACAACATCTAACAGCCATGAAGATCATGTACACTGCAAGCCTCAGAACGTGTAACATTCAAAGTGATTTCTCCTCATGGATTTCAGATTGGAGAGCTAGCTTTTCATGATAAGAGACAAACAGAACAGAACGTGAGCTAAGTAATTCAATCCCCATGCATTTAAATCCATGGTAATTGCCGTGGTCATAAACTAAATATCATTTGTTCACTCCATCGGAAAAAACTGTTGAATTTTGTGACAGAATTCTCATGAACTGCTCCAAGAAATAAATTGAAGAGGATATTAATTGCACCTCCAAATGTCTCACCATCTCTTTGACTTAGAGAGGCAATTGAAGTATCAACTCCTTTTGTATAAACTGGAGGAATTGCATATCAGGACAAGTTTTAGATTGAAACCTATATTGCCATTGAATTTGTTTGCACAGAACTATAAACGGAAAAGCAGAACCCATCTGATACACAACTCCTGAATATAAAGTTTGTTATTAAATGGGCCAGAAGGAAATCAAATAAGATACAGAAAAAAAACATACATTCAAGCAGATAATCAAGGTTGATGACTATACAATTAAGAATGTCTCGAACAGTGAACTTGCAAAGATGAACATTAAACTCTAAACACATTTAGACCAGACACTGACCAATCCTATAATAAAATTTAAACTGTACCATAGCCTGAATATTGTGGAATGTACTCAACCCGCAGGCACACTGCCAGAGACATACAAGGGTAAAAACACTAACAGTTTCACTTTCAGCACCTTACACATTTGGCAGCAAATAAAATCTGATTTGTGTTGAGGAGCAGATATTTGAACATCAAAGAAAACCTGCAACTTCTAAAAGTGCAATATTCGACTGAAACTGACAGTCACAGGTTGAGAACTTCACTTGCACATTCACACAGCAGAAAGTTGACAGGGAGCGAATGACAAATGCATTCACACATTCACAAACCAGATAGTGACAGGTATAGGTTAATAACTAGTCACTCAGATTTACAGGGCAGGATCTGACTGGGACAAATGGCACAAATACACTCGCACAGCCATAGGGAAGAAACTGACACGCACATAGTGATAAGTACACTCTCATATTCGCATATCGGAAAATGACAGGGACAGAATGATAATTGCACACACATTCAGACTGCAAAAAACTGACTGGGAGAGATTGATAAATGCATGCACACGTTACAGAAGGAAAAAGCATAAACATAGAGAGTTTGATAACAACACTTGGATATTCACAGAAGAATTTGACAGGTACATTTTCAGAACGCTGTGGTTGGTTCGCTTGCCGAGCTGGTTTGTTAGTTTGCAAAGATTTCATTACCCTGCTGGGTAACATCATCAATGCAGCTTCCGATGATGTTACCCAGTAGGGTAATGAAACGTCTGCAAATGAATGAACCAGCTCGGCAAGCGAACCAACCACAGTATTCATGACCCAATCTACTCAGGAACCTTAGACATATTCATAATACAGTCCCGCATTCACGAAGCAGGAAGTGACGGCTACAGATTGATGACTAAACTCACATATTACACAGCAGAAACTGAGAGGGACAGATTAATGACCACATTCACAACTTCACATGACAGCTCTGACAGGTACAGATCAATAACTACACACAATTATTCACAAAACCAAAGCTGACAGATACAAATTAAAAACAGTGCTCTCACATTCCCCAAGTAGAAACTGACAGGTATTTTTTGATAACTAAAGCACACGTTCACAGAGCAGAAACTATCAGGGATAGAATAATAATTGCACATACACATTTGAACATTCTCATTACAGACACTGACAGGGACAGATTGATAAATACATTCACATAGCTTAAATTGATGGGGAGGGAATGATAAATGCATTCTCACATTCACAAATCAGAAACAGGTATAGATTAGTAACTACACTCTCAGATACACAGGAGAAACTGAAAGTGACAGATTAGTAAATATACTCAAGCCAGCACTTAGCAGAAACTGACAGGAACCATGATGATACTAGTTTCATCTAGCAAAAACTGATAGGTACAGTTTGATAACTATACTTACATTTTTACAAAGCAGAATTTGACAGGTAAAAATTGATAATTACACGCGTATTGAGGAGCAGCAACTGACCTACATAGATTGACAAATGTGCACTCACATTCACTTTGCAGAAACTGACAGGTAAAATTTGATAACTACACTCTCATATTGACAAAAGCTGAACTGACCGGCAGAGATTGATAACTACATTCACATGGAAGAAACTGACAGGCGCAAACTATGTTTAAATATTCACACAGCAGAAACTGACAGATACAGATTGTTCATTACATTCACACATTCACGTTTTCGAAACCAACAGGTACAAATTGATAACTGCACTCAAACATTCACATGGCAGAAACTAACATGAACAGATTGATGACTAAACTCACATATCGACATTGCAGAAACAGACAGGGATAGATTGCTGTATGAATATATAAATGTCTTTATCAATCAGTCTCTGTCAGTTTTGGAAACTGAATTCA